TTCTACTCTCGTTCCTGTTCCACACCCTCCCACTCTGAGAGGGCGTCTTAAATAGCTTTGATTTGTCGTTACCCGTACTTTGTCGTTACCTGTACTTTTCTTTCTCTCTTTTTCATGGTACACATCACATCACTCAGTTTTTATACATGTGTTTATTCTCTCTATTGGAAGAAACAATTTATTCTGGGTTTCCAAATTAAAATAGTTTGTTGTGTTTACATGTTCCTCTCTTAAAATATTTGTAAATTGTTGGGAGTCATATAGTTATGGAAAAATATGATATAGTATACACGATTAAAGTTATTTCAGTTATTTTATATCATACTTTTTATTCGTACAGACACGTACAGGCAACCCCCACCCCCCAAAAAAAAAGAAAGAAAAAAGAAAATCTATATATACAATAGAATAAAGATAATTGCAAAATGTTAATACTAATAGTGGAAGATACTTCCACTCTCTATGTGTTTTATGTTGTTTTGTCGCTCCGTTTGAATAAAATACAGAGCTCTGCTGAGCTACACGAGTATATTCTGGAGGAGTGTACAACACTAATGTTTACATAAGGGTTACATACGCATGCAATATATATAGAGGGATACGTTACTAATATTATTCTATAAGGTAAATAGAATACATAATTATAGTAAGATAATTATGTTTGATCATATGACATCCCTCTTTTTCAAAAAACAGAAGACAATGGGGTTAGATTCTTATCATACTTGAGGTATACTATTTGATAGTTAGTTACAAAAATATGTGAGAATCTGCAGTGTATCAAAAATAGAGTTTAACATTCAATGAGCTTCTAGGGTTGGGTAACTGAGATTGCACCTGAGAATGCGTGGTAGTTCACACACATGTAAAATAAACTTTAGCACCTTTTTCAGTAATTTTCAAATAAAATAGGTAGGAACATAGAACCTTGTTTTTAGTTATTTAAAAAAAAAGTGGGTAGGAATATAGCACCTTGTTTTCAGTAATTTTCAAAAATAATTAGGTAAGGATATAGCACCTTGTTTTAAGAATCATATTAGTATTATTATAGCACTTTCCTTAACACTATTGAACACACATAAATACTGTGGAAACTGAAACATATTATAAGTCCAGTCTATTGGGTTTCTTGATGGTACGGCCACATCTTATTCTTGTGCCATCACACATCATCCACTGACTGGATGGCCATGGTTGTTTGAGGGTGCATCTGTGCCTCATGAATTGTTACCATGCCTAGGGCTCTCAGGCTTGAGTGACCCAAAATAATTGGTCCAACTTCTTGGTCCATAATGTAAAAATCTGTATCAATCAAGTTTTCCTCGTCGAAGGTGCAATTTAAATTGATCGATCCAAAATGCTTGAGTTTCATATTGTTCACTGCAATCAAGTTCTTCTGATGGTTGTTTGTCAGATAGGTTTTCGGCTTCCCATGAGCATCTAATAAATCTGGACACATAATTCGAAATGCTCTTATCGGGAGCAGGTTTGCTCCAGCACCTGTATCGACTTTGACTGTCATTGAGCCAGTCTTGTTGCTAGGAGTCTTGACTTTGATTAATCGCAGAGCTTCACTATCATTACTGTTCGACACCTCAGCCACTCTAACAGAACTCACTGTAAAATAATCCTCCTTGGGGTCATCTTGGCTGAACTCATGCACAGCAGATGTTCTGTTAGCTTTCTTGGGTTTGTCATAGTTGAGATTCCTAAGGTCTCTATTTCCGGCATAATGACTTTGGCTCTTGTTTGCTTTCTTCTTGGTTTCTGGTATTGAAAAGCACATTTTTTGCCAGTGGTTCATCTTGCCACATGTACTGCATCTGGCACCATATGCTGGGCAGGATTGTAGGGAGTATTTATTGTGTGCTCGCCCACATTTGTTGCATGATTTTGATTCCCTTGCGAATTTATGGTGTCCCACGGCATCGACATTTAGGTCATAATTGACTGCTTTGGCTCTCATGTCTCTGTTATTTCTTATGGTTGCTTCATGAGATCTAGCAATGTCAATGGCTTTGCTCAACCTTGTCTTCACCTTCCATAATAAGGCTTCTTTGCAAATCGTTACTGTGTATTCCGACCATGAATTGCTCAATGATTTTTGTTTCATGTTCTGCCTCAGTAAATTTGCATCTATTGGCTTGAGCTTCACATCTATTTACAAACTCATCGCTAGACTCATTTTCTCTCTGGGTGAATTTTCGCAAGCGAAGTCTGTCAACGTATTTGTTTGTCTTTGGTTTTACCTGGGTCTGAAAAACATCCCATACTTTTTCAAGGTCTTTCAAATCATCTTCAGTCAATTTGCTTGCTTGTATCATTTCCTCTCCAGCAGTGCCTGCATGTAAAATGATGTGATCTGCCTGCTTTTCAATTAGTATCTCTTTGACCTTGAAGTATCTAATACATTGTCTTTGGAAAGTCATAAGCGCGCCATATGAATCGTTAGTTTTCCAATTCATTCTTGGAGTATGACGAGAATTTTTGTCGTTGGCCATTTTGATGGCTGTTGACGTGGCAGTGCGAGTATTATGACACTTTCAGTGCACCAAAGTTGAGCTGTATTGGGTACACAGGAACTATGAAGGGAACTGTGGCTTACTTTTGTATGCTTCTTATATACTTCAGTCTTATTTGTCTTGATACCTTCGATGAGGGTGGATCTTTCGTGATTTAGGTGCAACGTGACACTTGTCTCTTTGCTGATTAGTCGCTTACCTCACATATTTTAAAGTCCATATTTCGGTATCTCCAGGTTGTTTTTACCTCTATAGAATACATAATTATAGTAAGATAATTATGTTTGATCATATGACACTATGTAAAAGAAAAAACTTTTGTTACCAACTCTGCCTTGTCTTATTCCAAAGTCTATAACACTTCCACTTTAATTTTCATTTATTTTCATTATTTCTCATTGTTCATTCCCGTGGATTTATTTACTATAGATCCAGTAATCGGCTGGAAGCATGTGCCAGTCGTAACCACCACTTCTCTCGTTTGCTCTCTGTTCGTTAGAGTTCGACCTTGGCTGGGAATGGCAACTGCAGTCATGAGTGAGAAGGATCAGGTATACATGGCGGGGGAGCAGGTGGATGCTGAGAGGCTGTTGCATGCAGGTTTCCTGAAACGTTCGTCTGCATCACATATTTGTACTTGTGCTCTTACACACTTGTATGTTGTTTCGCCGATTCTTTAATAAAATCCTTGCAAGCAGTATTTGGTCCTCTGGAATAATGACAGACATTTTTCCCTTCATACAATGTGTGAAAATACCCAATTAATTAAATACATTTTAGATTTGTTATATGTCATACGTTCCATCTAAATGTTTATTTTTCTTGTAAAAAACTGAATTAAAGCCTCATCACATCCATACCGGCAATGATATCAATCATGCTACTTTTATAGATAACGGTGGTGAAGAAATGCCTGTGGCTGACCAGACCATATGTCTGTGGAGGTCGCCCGGGTCACAACACCTAGACAATGTGGGTGCTTTTGTGAAAAACTTCACTGAAGGACATGGTGTTAAATGGGTTGAATGTGAAGTTGTGAAACAAGTGTATTTAGTGTCAATTCTTTCATTTCGTGGAATCTTACAATCATCTGTACTCATAATGTTTAGTTTTTGTTGAATGTTATAATCTTCTGTCTACGTAATGTGTTGTTGGGGCACCAAGGAAGAGCGTTTTGATTAGTTAAAGGGCTGTTATAGGTAAACTAGTATTGTTTAACCGCTGGTTCGGCCATTGAGCAACTTGCTTTAGGCGTGTAGAATGTTTCTCAATAAACGCATTGAGAGGCTAGCATCCATTTTTCCCTTCACCTTAGAACCTCAGTCTGCTAAAACTATACATGAACATTACTTTAGAAATGCAGCACTAAGTTAGGCTTTGACCTAATGGCCTCCAAAACTGAAGTTATCCAACTTTACAATTATAAATTTTAAGAGTTACTTATGATTCATGATCGGGCTTAATCAACGGCCATCCATATAGGTGATATCACAGGCGGATAAATAACAGGAAACTACTTGTTTGCACCCACCAGACCTTTGCTCGTTGTTGTCATAGGGGGCTCAGGAGATGGAGATTGAGGCCTAATGCCCCCCATCCCTTGCTTCTTGTTCTCGGGGGGGGGGGGGGGGAGACGGGGGGATCACCCAACCTCATCTTATTTAGCATAGTCTTTTCTTCTCCATTTCTTCATCCCCTTGTTCTGTCCACTTATCCTAATCGTCAAATTAATTTTTGCCGTTTTTGCCACAGTACTCATAATGCTCCCTACTCTCTTAACTCCTCCCCCTTTTAACAATCTTTACCTTATACTATACCCCATCAACTCCCCCTCTCAACCCTTTTCATTACCATACTACCCACTAGTATTGTTCAACCTATAACTTTAACTCTTTTCCTAACCCGTTTCGCTACTCTAATATACCATATCCCATATGACCTTTCATGTCATATAACACTTCCTTACCAGGGGCTTTGCCCTCTAGTCTGACACTACCACTATATTTTGAATATGCTGCTAATGACCTTAAAAGTTGATGTGTCAGAAATTTTGCAGTAAATTAATGAGGCCCAATGTAGGGTATCACCCCTACCTTGATCCTCAGCCCTCACCTCAACTAATTATGCAGGGTCTTTTCTTTGTCTTTCCTTTTCCTTCTCTTCTCCATCACCAAATCATCAACTCATATCTAGCCATTTCACCAAAATTCTGTGTGACCTTTGATGTCTCTTACATTTGTGTTGACCATTGACCATTTCCACAAACATTTCCTTTTGTATACACCACAAATAACCTTAGATGTTAATGCGGCAGAAAAATGTCAATAAATAAAATAAATACTTGTTTGCATAGTAATTTGCCTTCCTACGAGTTATCTCTACTCGTTCCTGCCTGTGTGCTTGTCAATGGTGCACACTAAGTGACAGACAAACCTTTAAAAATGAGCTATACTAAAAAAAATGTTTCTTATTCCACAG